AAGATTAATAAAAGTTATGAAAAAGTTACCATAACAACTGCAAATTTAAAAATAACACTGTGTCTTTTGGTTGGGTTTAATGTGCGCTTAACATATGTTACTATAAAACAATTAAATTGAACTTTCAATTTATTGAATAACAACGTTCGCTATTATTTATCAATTTCATGAATTGACCACTTTTACGGATGTTCTGAATCTTCCGGAGAACGGTCTTATGGCCATACAGGTCCATGTTTATGTCATGACTCTAAATTCTTTCTTATATCACAGTTCTCAATGCTTTCGAAAAAAAAAACGCGGAGTTCTAGGATCAGTTTCATTGATTGAGCATGTTTAAGGATGTTTCAGATCTTTCGGAGGAGGGTCCCATGGCCTTCTAGGTACATGTTTATGTCATGACCCCTAATTAATTTATATATGACATTTCCAACTGTTTTCGAAAAAAAAAACATAGATTGAACACTTTTACGGATGTTCAGGATCTTCCGGAGGACGGTCCGATGGCCATCCGGGTCCATGTTTATGTCATGAACCCAAATTCTTTCTTATATCACAGTTCCTAATGTTTTAGAAAAAATCGCGGAGTTCTAGGATCAGGGGTTTATGGATAGACCACTTTTACGGATGTTCCGAATCTTTCAAGGACCGTTCCGTTATCTCTTGGTTTCATATATAGGAACCATGACTGTATTCTGGCTAATTATGAACATGTGTGCCCATTAATCTAAATTATGGATATTAAGCCACTTGCAAAACCCATAAACACACCTTTAAAAAAACGACTCTTTTCCCTTTTAAAAAAAAGTAGACGACTCTACTTTCAACATTTCTGCAATTAAAATAATCTTCAGAGCCTAGGAATTCTAGAGGTACCACAATTTTTGAAATTCATCAAGAAATGGCTAAGTTATGTCATTGCAAACTTGCCGTTACACGTTTTTCGGAGGCTTCGTAGTCGGCGTAAAGTATTTTACCCACCGTATTCGGAGTGTTAAAAGATACTTCCCGAGCAAACTCCGAGATCAAATTGAAAACTAAATTTGATGTTGTGATGTTGCTGAGAATGATTACTCAGGTTGCTGTCGTTTTGATCGATTTAACGTTGAAAATATCAAAATCGAGAGCAAAAATATCTTCCTGTGACATAAAATAGAAAACTTATTTTGTTGTCAGTGAAAGCAAACTGAAAACTCAATTTGATGTTCATTTTTCATGATGATAACAAAACGAGTATTTAATTTGATGTTCCACAAAGACAATAAAAACAAAACTGCAGCAACGTATTCAAGAGAGAGAGAGAGAGAGAGAGAGAGAGCAAAAGTACAGTAAAATGAAAACAAAATGTGTTGTCAAATGTGTCAATTGCTTGCACTGAAATCAAATTATGATTTCAATTTGATGTTGACATCATAATTTGTTTCGGTTTGCTATCGTTTGTATGTGGTTTACAAAACCCGAGCGTCTGTTCTCCATGTTAGGGGCGGCTCAAACAGCGTCTGACTGGCATCCAGCGGCTGAATACGAAACGCTTCTCCCCGAAAGCAATACCCAAGATGGCAGTCCCATCACGACGGATAGAAGACCTTCGTCTACTGTCTCCAAAACCTTCAAATTGTTACAGAAACCTATAGTGAAAGATTACGAACTGATTTTATGGCAACGACTTTTAGCGCTAAACAACGGACAAGAATTGGAACATGGAATGTACGTACTGCCTTCGGGACAGGTACTTTTATATTCTGGTATGCGAGGTGAAACCGCTCCGCAACATCATGGAGTTGGCTTTCTGCTTAGCGCCCAAGCACAGGCTGCGCTCATCAAATGGGAACCTATCAATGAGAGAATAATCGTTGCCAGATTCAGAGCACGGGTCCGAAACCTTACCATAATCCAATGTTATGCGCCAACCGATGCTGCCGAATTGCAGGACAAAGAGAACTTTTACAGTCAACTGAATGCTGTCGTGGATATGACTCCAAGAGGTGATATCAAGATCTACACAGGCGACTTCAATGCGAAGATCGACTTCGACAACTCGGACTATGAGCGCATTATGGGACGCCATGGTCTCGGAGATATGAGCGAGAACGGCGAGCTGCTTGCAGAGTTTTGTGGCAACAACGACATGGTGATCGGGGGTTCGCTCTTCCCCCATCGCCCAGTGCATAAAGTCACATGGGTCTCCCGCGTCTGACCATCATCTCGTGGTCGGTGAGATCCACCTACGCATTGCGCGGGTTCAACGGCGGGAGGAGAGACTCGGGCGGCGATTCAACACACGCCGACTAGAAGACCCAGCAGCAAGGTTGCAAAGACTCATTTCAGCTAAAACAATGTTTTTCTAAATTATGAAATAATTAGATGCCATGATCAAATTTTGAATTGGTAGGATACAAGAAGAGGTTGCAAAGAATGTGTTTGATATATTAAACCTGTTTATTTCACTTCATGAGAGTCACAATCAGCGATTTTTCACAAACTCACTCACTCACTCACTCACTCACTCACTCACTCACTCAGCGATCAGCAAATCGCTGATTGTGACTCATAGAAAGCAAAATTTACAGGTTTTATGTTTCCAACGCATACTTTGTAACCTCTTCTTGTAAGTTACAAGTAAAACATGCCATCATACCATCTTTTGGTTTTATTATTCCGAAAAACATTATTTTAGCTGAAATGAGTCTTTGCAACCTTGCCCAGCAGTGAAGAGATCGTTCGTCGAAGAGCTCCAGGCTCGCGCAGCTAATATTCCGGAAGGTGGCAGCTTAGAAGAACAGTGGACGAGCATTAAGAATGCCTTTATTGAAACAAGCGAGAACAACCTGGGTGAGCAGCGCACTCAGGGGATGGAGTAGATCACCGATGAAACCTGGAGGAAGATCGAGGAGCGGAGAGAAGCAAAAGCCGCGATAGAGCGAGCAAGGACCCGAGGAGCCAAGAACGAGGCCCGTCAGCGGTATTCGGCTCTAGAGAGGGAATTTAAGCGTTCTTGTATACGGGACACGCGAGCGTGGGTGGACCCCCTGGCTGATGAAGGGGAGGAAGCCGCAGCAACTGGCGATATCCGCCTCCTCTATGATGTTTCACGACGCCTGAGCGGGGCAAAGATGAACCCAAGGATGCCTGTGAAAGACGCGACTGGTCAGTTGCTCACCGACCCCACTGACCAGTTGAAACGTTGATTTGAGCACTTTGAACAACTTCTAGAAGTTTCAACGGTCAACCAAACATCAACATCTCGGCATGATCCGCCAAGGGTGAGGCGCGTTACTCGCGTCAACACTGAAGCTCCATCATTGCAGGGATAGAAGCAGCCGTCCGAAGTATGAAGTCCAACAAAGCCCCGGGGGTCGATCGCATATCAGCAGAGATGCTCAAAGCTGACCCCATGCTATCTTCACAAATGTTCACAAACTATTCGTCAATATCTGGGACACCGCAGGGCGTCTTGGTAAAAGTCCCCAAGAAGGGGGATCCAACTGTATGCGACAACTGGCGAGGCATTATGTTACTGTGTATTGTTCTCAAAGTTCTGTGTAATGTTATCCTCAATCGGATACAGAAGAAGATCGACGTGACTCTCCGACGACAGCAGGCAGGATTCCGTGCTGGAAGATCCTGTGTGGACCATATTGTCACGCTCCGCATCATCTTGGAGCAGGTCAATGAGTTCCAAGAGTCCCTGTACTTGGTATTCATTGACTACGAAAAAGCTTCCGACCGACTAAGCCACGAAAACTTGTGGGCCGCTCTGAGACGCAAGGGAGTCCCTGATCAGATCGTAAACCTTATCGAAGCGCAGTACGAGGCTTTCTCATGCACAACGGAACTAGTTCAACGTCAATAATGCGGTCATGCTTCTGACAACCCTTAACTTTTTTTTTTAATCAGAGCAAAAAGGTGAAAGGTTTAGTTTAGTTTTCTTATAGTAATTGCCATACAAACTTCAAACGGTTAGCGCAAAATCAGTTTCCAACCGAATGAGCTCAAGTTTTTGGAAGAAGCTCTGAACTCCGTGTGAAACTGGTAGCGAACTGCGGATCAAAATTTTTATATTTTATCATTAGTCTAATGTTTAATTACTATCCTATTGAATTCCAATTTAATTATTGATATCAATTTAGTCACTATACTGTTATAACCACAGGAAATGCAACATTGTTAACATGAAATTGAGCTAAGTTTTACCCATTGCATCGAGCTCATACTCGTACACATCTTAAAAGTCAATCGAAAATAGATTAGCAATACTAAATTCAATAATAGGATCCCAAGTTCATATTTTTAACTACCTGTTATCATTTGTTACCGAGTTTAGCTCAGTATGACACGGCGGGTCTGCAACAGTGTAAACATTTACCTCAGCTGCTAACATCATTCTGATACGGTAGGGTAGGCTATATATTCATACCGAAACGAACGAAGCACGGCACAACATAGATGAAATCTTCCTCGCAAACGATCGCGCCGAACAAATGCTGCGCAGAAAAGTAGCACCCATGCCAGCAGTATATAATGCAATGCAGTAGGAAATTAGGAATTCGAGATAAGGAAAACAAACGTTCTCTTTCAAGAGGAATGTTTGGCAATATTTGTCACGTTGCCATCGATAGGTAGGCTGCACTATGTTCGATTTTCATAGTCATCATTTTCGAAGAGCTCCACAACACACTCCGACGATAAGAGTTTTCACTCTAGCAACTCTTCTTCCATCGAAAGCTAGAGAAAATCGATAATTTTGACAATCGCTTGCACAGAACTCTACACTTTACTGCTCCAGTAGCTACAATTTCTGAGAGATTTGTAGTATCGATCTGTGCTTAGCCATGCCAATTATCACATAAATCTCGATGCTAATCCTCCTACTAATGACCTTCGGGTGGTTAGAGTGTCATGGTAACAACATATTTGCGCCAGGTGCCATACTAGAGCCGTGCCTCCCATAAACGGAGTTTTGTGCATTTTCATGCCAGACACGATACCAGGATACTTACAGTTTGAGCATAATTCCATGGGCAAGGATGTTTCATTTCCCTGAAAATGTGCGAGAAAACAATAGATCAATTGTCTCATCATGCATCGAGCGCCGAATATAGGCCAATATACTGTATTGACCTAGTACGTGCGCCGTCGAAGGCCTGCTGCAGACCGAAATCATTGGTGACATACTAATAGGAGCCAGTGCGAAAAAAAAATCTCCTTCGCTGGCGTAGATATTCGTACTCACAACTGAAAGCTGGCTTTTTTTTAAACAGAAACCACCTCACTTACCATTTTGACTCTAGTTGGATCTTCGAATTAACTCCAAGAACACACCTGCGTATGGCACAGTACAGAAATGCGAGTTTTTATTCACTTTCCAAAAACACAAACTTTGAGATCTTCGGATTTTCACTACACTTTGCTGTCTATATTTTTTGACTGATGGGTAGGATCTGAAAATAATTCCCTTCTTTTCACTCTGTCAATCGACGTTTACCAATACTAACGTGACTGCTGCCTCGAGACCAATTTTTGAGCTACTTTCAAGCCATACAATCGAATGATTCAATATACAACAGCAGTTCAAAAGTTTATATATGGCTCCGTGGGATGTGAGCTTGCGCAGTACATCTCCAAAATTAGCCGCCGTAGATGTATTTTTCATTGGGAGGGATCTGCTGGTAGAGTGATAGTAGGGAGAAAGATTTTGAATGTACCGTTAAAATTATGCATGGTGATGGACACGGGGCAGTTCATGACAAATAAATTTATTAAACAATCACTAACGGTTACGATGAGCTTTAATTTTTTTTTTTTTGTAATTACTTTATTTGTACAGGCTCAATCGAATAAACTTTACAGAGCCGAGTTATCCTTTGCGTTATACATTATTACTGTCTTATATTTAAAGTTAAAGGAACTGGACCGAGTACTAGCGGTCGTCTCGAGGTTAGTGGAGATTTACAATTTTTTGGATGGGAAAAGGGAAGAAGGAGGCTGGTCGAAAATCTGACGTACGTAATTATCGTGGTATAGCCATTATCTCTTGCATTCCTAAGATTTTCGAGTCAATTATCAACGAAAAATTATTTCTCCAAATCAAAAATAGAATTACTGACATGCAACACGGCTTTTTCAATGGTCGTTCGACCTCGACCAACTTACTTGAATTTATAGACTATTCATTGAATGCAATGGATAATGGAAACCACGTAGAAGCTCTCTATACAGACTTTAGCAAGGCATTTGACCGCATTGACATACCAATGTTACTCTTTAAACTGCAAAAAATTGGAATTAAATCAGGGCTCCTGAAATGGCTTGAATCATATTTAACTAACCGCCAACAAATAATTAAATTCAACGGAAAGAAATCGAGCCCAATTCAAGTCACTTCAGGCGTCCCCCAAGGCTCTCATTTGGGACCTCTCCTTTTTATTCTATACGTAAACGACATATCTTACATTCTCAAAAAACTTAAATTGCTTATTTATGCCGACGACATGAAGCTCTTTTTGGAAATAAGAAATGAAGAAGACATCAATATATTCCGGAATGAAATACACATATTCTACATATGGTGCAAAAAAAGTCTACTAGAATTGAATGTAAAAAAATGTAACGGTCATTTAGTAGAAAAAGAACAACTTCAAATATTTCAATTGCATTAGGAAATCAAACTGTAGACAAATGTGAAAGAGTTAGGGATTTAGGAATTATCTTAGACTCTAAGCTAACTTTCATAGACCATTACAATACAATTATTCACAGGGCAAATAACATGCTAGGCTTTATCAAGCGCTTTTGCTATAACTTTCAGGACCCTTACACCACAGACAAACAGACATAACACGCAAGTTGTTCATCGAACATGCATTTAACGGTCAATTTTAAAGTATCATAGTTGGTAGTACCCCCACCTGTGGCGCGCATAGTCAATTCCCTTGCGTTTGACGTTTACACACTACCGCCATCTGTTCAGCGTACTACCCACCACAGTGTACTCAACAGATGGCGGTAATGTTTTAGCGACGATGTTTTACAGTGAGAAATATTCAATGTGTTATGTCTGTTTGTCTGTGCTTACACAATTAAAACACTATATATTGCCTATGTGAGGTCAATACTGGAATATTGCAGTATTGTATGGTCTCCATTTTCAATCACGCACGAAGAAAGATTAGAATCAGTACAAAAATAATTTCTATTATACGCTCTTCGTAAATTAGGTTGGACTTCATTTCCTCTTCCATCATATGAAGCACGCTGCATGCTTATAAACATACAAACATTAAAAGAGCGTCGTGAATATGCAATGGTTTCATTTGTAAATGATATCGTTTCGCAGCGAATTGACTCAACAGAACTTTTATCAAAATTAAATTTCCATGACCCACTCGGCAACTCCGAAATCGAAATTTATTTGCCATAAAACATCATCGCACAAATTATGCAAAATATGGGCCATTAAACCGCATGATGGCCTGTTACAATAAACACTGCGAAACCATTGACTTTACAATGTCTTGGCATAAACTAAAGCAATATTTTTATTCCATAAGAAATAACAACTCATAAAAGAAAAGACAAGAAAGCTGACACTACTTTTTTATATAAATATATATTTAAGAAAGCAAAACTGTATTAATTGTACTAGTCTACGTTGGTTGACGAAATAAATAAATAAATGTTTTTCCCATGTTTAAAAAAAAAAAATGTGGTTTACGATACAACTATTTAATTAATCCTAAAGCATGAAATTATTTCTATTCTTCAAGATGAATTGATGACAAACATTGAAAAAAAAACTCCAGACGTACAAAACACAAACTAAACACAAGGCTAATCAAACTTACAATCTAAGGTTAATATCCTTAAAGTAAACATATATGAGTTTCATAAACTCCAGATCGCGTCTAGCCAAAATATCCCGAACTGGAACATTAGGTTGTCTACCTCGAGCCCGAAGGGAATCATAAAAATGTGATCTGACTCCACGATACTCCACACAAGACCAAAGGATGTGATCAGCGTCCTGGTAACCTTGTCCACATTCACAGAGATTGCTGTCTCCCAACCCCACACGGAACAAGTGAGCGTTTAGACAATAGTGATTGGACATGAGACGAGACATCACGCGTATGAAGTCTCGACTCAAGTCCTACCCTTTGAACCATGCAAACTTCGACACCTTAGGGATAATTGAATGTAGCCATCGTCCCAAGCTCCCTTCACTCCATTGATGTTCCCAGCTAACGAGCGACTGCTGACGATAAATACAGAAAAATTCACTATAGGCGATCTGTCGATCATAAATGTCGCCTTCCATGGCGCCCACCTTCGCAAGTGAATCCCAAAATTGAGCAATGCGAAGGGACCCACCCGAAGGTGATGATGAAAGAGCGCACGGATAAAGCACTAAGCAGTTCTCGTATTTTCAAGAGAAAATACGAGAAGTGCCTTACCGGCCTAATGGAACGGATAGCCTCGACAGAACTGAGACTATCCGTAAAAATAAAGTAGTGGTCTGGAAGAAGTGAAGCAATAGTTTCCAAAGTGTAGTGAATTGCTGCCAGTTCAGCCACATACACAGAACAAGGAGCTTCAAGTTTTCGAGAGGCGCTATGAAATTCATTAAATACACCAAAACCAGCGGACTCCTCTATTAGAGATCCATCTGTGAAAAACGTTCTTGCAGAATCAACATGGCCAAACTTTGCAGATTATAATGACGGAGCAATCATAGGACGATGATGCTCTGGAATTCCACGGATTTCCTGCGTCATAGATAAATCAAAATTCACTGAATTGCCAAAATCGGAGAAGACTACACGATTGGGAATATTTCTTGAAGGGCTGACATCCTGTGTTAAATATAGGTAGTACGAAGTCATAAAACATGTTTGAGGATTTAGCTCCAGAAGCTTCTCAAAGTTTTCGATCACCAGTGGGTTCATTACTTCGCAACGGGTGAGGAGCCTCAGAGATAACTCTGAAAAACGGACGGATAGTGGCAACATGCCCGCCAGCACTTCGAGACTCATAGTATGAGTCGAGTGCATGCATCCTAACGCGATACGAAGACAACGATACTGGATCCGTTCCAGCTTGATGATGTGCGTTTTAGCTGCCGACTGGAAGCAAAAACTACCGTACTCTAAAACCGATAAAATCGTTGTCCGGTACAACGTCAGAAGATCTTGTGGATGGGCTCCCCACCACGTTCCGGTAATTGATCGGTAATTGATCCTTAGTAGGCATTTTCGTCTCAGATACTCAATGTGGGATCTCCAGGTGCATTTGGAATCGAACCAGACCCCGAGATATTTAAAAGACATGGAATGAGTGATCGGTTTACCCAAAAGTTGAAGCTTCGGTTGTGCTGGGCTATGCTTCCTAGAAAAAACGACCAACTCAGTTTTCTCCGTGGAGAATTCGATACCTAGCTGAATAGCCCAAGTAGACAAATTGTCCAAGGTATCCTGTAAGGGTCCTTGCAGGTCAACCTCTTTTGGCCCTGTGATAGACACTACGCCGTCATCTGCAAGTTGTCTCAACGTGCAATTGTCACTAAGACAATTGTCAATTTCTCTAACGTAGAAATTGTACAAAAGGGGGCTTAAACATGAGCCTTGGGGGAGACCCATGTAGCTAAATCGAAAAGCTGTAGAGTTTCCATGAGAAAAGCTCATATGTTTTTCTGACAGCAAATTGTACAAAAAATTATTCATTAATGGAGACAATCCACAAGCGTGGAGTTTCTCTGAAAGAACTTCAACGGATACTGAATCAAAAGCCCCCTTGATATCCAAGAACACAGAAGCCATTTGCTCTTTCTTAGCAAAAGCCAACTGAATTTCCGAGGAAAGCAACGCGAGACAGTCGTTCGTTCCCTTACACCCACGGAAACCAAATTGAGCAACCCATTTGCCGAGGCGAAAAAGGATCATTTTCTCCATCAATTTCCGAATACACGACAGCATCGCGATGGGCCGATACGAATTGTGATCCGACGCGGGTTTATCAGGCTTTTTAATGGCTATCACCCTCACTTGTCTCCAATCGTCGGGAACAATATTGAGCTCCAAGAACTGATTGTACAAGTTCAACATGCGCCTCTTAGCGACGTCTGGGAGGTTTTTCAGCAAGTTGAACTTGATTCTATCAGATCCCGGGGCAGAATTGCCACACGAAAGGAGAGCGAGTGAAAGTTCGACCATTGAAAAAGACTGATTGATTTCGTCTACCGAATTCGCGGTTTCGCGAGGAATCAACTGCGACGGCACGGAATCCGGACACACTTTTCGCGCGAATTTAAGAATCCATTGATCCGAGCATTCCTCGCTTTCGTTGTTAGTAGACCGGTTACGCATTCTTCGCGCCGTACTCCAAAGCGTATTCATAGACGTTTCGCGCGACAATCCGTCTACAAACTGCCGCCAGTAACCCCGTTTTTTGGCCTTGATGAGGCTCTTGAGTTCGTGTTCAAGAGAAGTGT